CCCACCACCACAAGGGAAGGTATATAAGGACTGCCCCCACACATCGGAGCTCAGAATCGGAGCTCATAGCCCTGAAGATGCAGACTGCAATGTTTGCGAAACGTCGGCGCAATGCTGAAACTCAACGCGGCATCCATCCGGAAGCCAACCAAGTCATTAATAATGGCCGCGAAAGCCTCAAAACTAAGAATAAAACTACTAATTATTATTTTTCATCGGACGTCACACCCCCGCAGTTAGACGGAAGTGCGAGTGACTAACAAGAACGAGAACGACGCAAATGGAAAATCTAACCAAAAAGAAAAATTTAAATGAAATATTAAAATAAATTTAAATCCTACTTTACATTATTATTGTAGACTACGTTGAGTCCCCTCGAACAAAAGTAGACATGATGATTGGCGAGATAGGTGTGAGCACAGTCCTCGCACTCTGCTGCTGTCCTCACGATGACCAATTGTTTGCCGCACTCTGGACATCCAATTTCAACTGAATGTTTGCAAATACGATGCAGCTTTTGCTCCTTTTCTGCTCCAACTGGTGCGTGGCGTTTACAATAGACACGATAAAAATCGTCTGTCCAAACTTCTTCATTCCCGCAGANTAACAAGAACGAGAACGACGCAAATGGAAAATCTAACCAAAAAGAAAAATTTAAATGAAATATTAAAATAAATTTAAATCCTACTTTACATTATTATTGTAGACTACGTTGAGTCCCCTCGAACAAAAGTAGACATGATGATTGGCGAGATAGGTGTGAGCACAGTTCTCGCACTCTGCTGCTGTCCTCACGATGACCAATTGTTTGCCGCACTCTGGACATCCAATTTCAACTGAATGTCTGTAAATCCGATGCAGCTTTTGCTCCTTTTCTGCTCCAACTGGTGCGTGGCGCTTACAATAGACACGATAAAAATCGTCTATCCAAACTTCTTCATTCCCGCAGGCCTTGATACATTTGGCCAGCTGGAATTCTTGAATATTTCGATGTCGTCTAGGATTGACGACATTGAGTAAATCCTCTATTTTTGGTGACCAACACATTGGTCGGTTTGAGGCCGTTGTCCTCC